GCAACGGGTATGAAGTTATCAGAGTTAATGAGGAATTCACCCTAACTCACAAATTTTGCTCATTCAATTATTATTTCTAACTACTTGCAGCACTCTCCAATTGATTCCTACCTTGGATTTATAAAACTGTGCACTGTTCCCTTAACATCTGGGAGGATGTGTTCCAAAGAGAACAAAGTGTGGTATAAAAGGTGCCACCTGCTGACACCCAACATATAAAAAGATACCCCTTGGATTGAAGGTCCCTGGCAGAAAGGAACTTACTTTTGATTAAATCAGTCAGCACTTCAAAAGCTAATTCAGGCTTTAAGGATCAGTTGGACATAAATGTGTAGATTTGCATTGTCTATAGAATAAATATGAAGGCTCCTAGTAGAATTAAAAATATGATACAAATAATATTATATAAGACTTGCAAGATCTAGCCAGTGACCTAAATTCAATTCATATATTTGTACTATAATATATGTTTGGGAAGATATATAATTGATCAATACATATTCCCTCTCCTCAAGGACCAACCAACCACATCTACTAAAAAAGAACAACAGCAGAAACACCAATAAAGACAATGCCTAAATTTCCTCTAAGCCCTTCCCATACAGTAATTCATCTTACTCTAAAAATAAAATATTTTTTTAAAATAGTACTCTTATTGTCCTAATTAGACAGATGAGGAAACTGAGGCACTGACAAGCTAAATGACTCTCCCAATGTCACACATAGCTAGAATTTAGAAGATATAGAAAAATGCTGAAATCATTATTCACAATAGCCAATATTTGGAAATAACGTAAGTGTCCATCAGTGGATGAGTAGATAAAGAAAATGTGGTATATATACACAATGAAATGTTATTCATCCTTGAGAAAGAAGGAAATCCTGCCATTTGCAATAACATGAATGGACTCTGAGGTCATTATGCTAAGTGAAATGTCAGATGGAAAAAGACAAACAACGTATGAGATCACATATGTGGAATCTAAAAAAGCTGAACTCAGAGAGTAGAATGGTGGTTAGCGGGGCCTAGGGACACGGCAAATGGGGAGATGTTGGTCAGACTTCAGTTATAAGATGAATAATTTCTGGGCATCTAGTGTACAGCATGGTGATTATAGTTTATAATAATGTATTTAATAAAGATATTTTTAAAAATTAAAAATAAATTTAAAATTTTTTTAAATAAATATTTAAAAAATAATGTATTTATACTAGAAAGTTGCAAAGAGAGTAGATCTTAAATATTCTCAACATACAAAAAATTGGTTATTATGTGACAATGGAGGCGTTAACTAAGGCTATGGTGGTAATCACTTTGCAATATATTAAGTGTATCACATCAACACCTTGTACACCTAAACTTACACAATGTTATATGTCAATTATATCTCAGTAAAGGGTGGAGAAAAAGAAAAATGCTGAAATCCCCAGAGCTGGAAACACAGTGTGGTGACTTGAAGAGGTACACAGCTCCGACAGAACAGAGGTCAAGTTCTGCCTGCTGTGTAGCATGAAGGAAGGAGAGAGTCTACCTGTGGAAATGATCTAGTGGGGACTCCACTGCAGGCAAAGTACATGAAAAACAGTCAGTGATCATCTCATTTCCATATATGCTTTTACTCTGTCAGGATTTTTCAGATTGTGTTTCCTGTACATACCCTGGGGTATGGGGAGAATGCATAGTTCTGGAAGGATATACATTAAGCCATAGGTATAGGCACATAAATATATACGGGCTAGAATAATTGATCAAAAGGAGACCTGGATGTTTTTTTTCTTCCCAACTCCACATACTCCAAAGAAACAAATGAGGCAAAATATTGACCAGCAAAGTTCCTGTTCAAGCTTATGGGGTCTTGATGACATCGAGATAAGCCGCGGTGGCTTTGTGCTACTTAAGAGACCATCTAACCTCTTGACTGAATTACAGCTTTCTCATCATACTTTCCTATTTATTACTCTGTGTGCAGCATCCCATCCTCCAGAGTGCAGAAAATCCCATCCCAGCGGCTGAATTAGCCTAATCACAGTTCTTTTCTACCCCAGCCCTGTTCTGGCCATGGGGAGAGAATCAGGAGAAGAGGGGAGAGGAGAGTTCTGATGTCCACTGACAGCTAGAAGAAGGTGCTTGACATTTCTTCCACGCTCCCAGTCACTCTCCGCTTCGCCCTAAGCCTTTATTAACCCAGTGTGGAATGTGGCAATTTCCTAAGCTGCGGTCATTACAGTAAATGCCATTTCTCCCCATAAGGCTCCCGTTAGCTGCTGTGTTCCTCGTGCTTATTTAGCTCATGATATTTCATGCCAAGTATTTGAGAGACAGTGCTCAGAAGTCGCCAGGCAGCTCCACTGTGAAATACAGTGTTCCCATCCATCAGGGGAACGAGTAGGCTGCAGGGATGTTGTGTTTGGTATTTGCTTTCCATTCATTATGTGTTTCTTGCTGAGTCTGACTTTTCCACAAATATTGAAGCTGGAGCTGACTAATGACTCTCTGTGAACCTCAACTCATGCTGGTGATTATGCATCTTTGGAAAGTGCTTAATAAATACTATTAAAAAAAACTCTGCTATATGGTGATGGCAATCGTGCCAGATGTGACACTGTGTTTTCAGACAAAAGCAATCTTGAAAAGGTTTCAAGGTAACACTTAAAAAGTAATCCTCTATTTGGTTGCCTAGCAAGATGCCTCATGAGTGTTTAAAATACATAAGAGGTTTGAGTTCAGATAAAGAATGTGTTACCAGATGGTAACAGTAATTACCCTGTTCCCAAACTCGAAGTGTATTTACCCTGTCTTTTGCCTACCAAGTTGCCAATACACTATTCAGCTTTCCAACTGGAGCGCACCATTTCATATTTCCTGCCGGTACACATATATTAGTGGACGTGTGCTTTTATTAACAGTGTAAGACAAGAATATTTCAGTCGTGTTGTTACACCTACTGCCTGATATAGATCATACAGGACAAGGATACAATTTAATTGGCAATAACTCTTTGGAGCCAGAGTAATAGTTGCCCAGGAGTTCTTTGTCAGAGTGTTCTTGGCTTTCCATTAAGTACTCAGCCACTAAATTCTTTTCGACTCTGGAAGCAGCAGCCAGGGAACACTTTGGAAGCTCTATAAAAGGCATTCTCCTAATCTTCAAATCGTTGGAAAGACACTTTAGCATCTGTTAAAATATTTTTTTTCCTTCTAATCTGCCTGAAACTAATAGGGAGAAAATTCTAAGATGTTTCTTAATTAAGCAATAAGAAATGGTGGAGGGTGGTCTGTGCTGAGTTAATCACAGTTGTAAAGCATAAAAAAAGGAAAAGTGTTAAGTACCTCTAGATCCTTAGGCATCTAATTTCCCTCTGAATGTGCCTTATTGCTATTATGAAGAAATCTTTTCTTCCCAATTCCTGGAAATCTCCACCCATTCCCTGAAATAGTCAGAATAATCCTTCCCTCATTAGCCTATGAAATTACCCAGCCCATAAAAACTAACCACCCCATATTTCGGGGCCTCTTACCTTCTGAGATGGCCCACGCTCTGTCTGTGGAGTGTGTTTTTTTCCCAAGGCTGTTCTCACCTTTTGAGACGACTGCATTCTGTCTACGGGATCTGCGTCTCTCTAAATAAATCCACTTCTAACCTATCACTATATCTCTCACTGAAATCTTTCTTTGATGAGACATAAAGAACCTGAGCTTCATTAAGTCCTGAGACCAGGTGTGTGAACTCAGTTAAAGGACCGTGGATTCAATTCCCAATCTGAGTTGTGCGGTTTCAAAACCAGTTTGCAACGCCCCTCTTTAAAATCTTCAAAAAGGTGAGCACCCAAATCCTTAAACCTACTTTCTAGTCCCTATTTTGAAACTAGGACTCAGAACCCCTTACACACACTCCTTACCAGCAAATCTGGAGCTCCCCAGAGAAGCGCTGCAACGCAACCTTGCTATCTCTTCAGGCCATGACCCAGTAGTTGTTCCTGCTATGTTTATTCAACTCTGAGATTAACACTAGTAATTCACTCTGGAACAGTCTTTTACACTTCTCACCTCCGTGAAAAATTTACTCATGCCTCAGGTGACCTAATTTTACGGAATGACTTGTTAACAATAGCTACAATAGCAACACAAACCAAAAACCCTCTATCTGCTCTGCCATTATAACTGTGATTTTCATTCTCATAAGAATTGGATGGAATAAGTCCACCATGCCACCAACACACTTCGTATTGTTTTTCTTTTCACTTTCATTTGATGTTTTATTCCCGGAAGAGACCAAAATCTTTTGGTTTGAAACTTTACATTAAATACTAGAGTTAAGTACCTAACTGGTGTTTTTGTACTCCCTCCTCAGCACGATCAATCCTCATGATTCAAAGATTCCATATTTGCAAATTTGTCTACTTGCTAAAATTTATTTGAAAGCCCCAAATCAATACTCAGGCATTTCTACAGTTGTCCACAGACATGCATATGCACAGAGAAGTGAACACTGTGAGTCCCTTGATGCACACATCCCAGCTGAGGTCGAACAGGATGAGGCTCTGCTCTCTCATTTCAGCTCTCCGACTACAAATGACCGTCCTTGCTGCAGTCTCGTTAGTGCCATGCTGTTCGCATTTTTGTGCTTTTCGTTGGTGATTTTGCTGTTTAATGGCCCCCACTGTCTAGCATTCCTAAACTCAAGGAGTCTGTGATGTGTCTTACAGACAAAATGCATGTGTTAGGTAAGCTTCGTTCAGGCATGTAATGTTCTGGGCCGTGAGTTCAATGTTAATGAATTGACAATTTACATTAAATAAGAAGCCTTTAAACAAAAACATACATAAAACAAAGTTCTGTGTAGATGGGTTGATGAAAATGTCAGAGGGTCATAGGAACCTAACCCGGTATTTCCCCCAGAAGCAATGATTCACTATTCGCTAATTCAGGGTTTGCTGTGACTTTATGGGACATAACTACCGTGAATAACGAGAATCAACTGTATAATCAAAATTGTTTACCTTTATGTTCTTCCCGACTCAGCTGGCTCTAACCAAACTGGTAATATTTGCAGTGGTCTTGAGGGTAAATCAAATCCATTTTCAAGGAGGTGTTGTTTTTGGTCTCTACTTTCAGCATCTTGAGTACAGATTTTTAAAGTCTTTTGGGGCTTCCCTGGTGGCGCAGTGGTTGAGAGTCCGCCTGCCGATGCAGGGGACGTGGGTTCGTGCCCCGGTCCGGAAAGATCCCACATGCCGCGGAGCGGCTGGGCCCGTGAGTCATGGCCGCTGAGCCTGCGCGTCCGGAGCCTGCGCGTCCGGAGCCTGTGCTTCGCAACGGGAGGGGCCACAACAGTGAGAGGCCGAAGTCGTTTGATTTCAGCCACAGCTGGATCTCATTAAGGCCATGTTTCCCAACCTTCCCCTCCATGTGTGTGTTATTCTGATGTCAACAGATGTAGCTACTTGAGCCCAGAAGAGCCCTGGCCAGCTTTGGCCCCTCCCACAACCAGAGAGCAGAGAAAATCAATATGGTGGCCTGCCTCTGACTCTGCTCCCAAGTATAAGAGAGGCTAAGATGAGCTATCGTAAGGAATGTTTGGAAGGCTTCTTCCAGACTTTTGCTGGGCTGGGGACTCCACTGATGCCCATATGCATTTATAGGGTAGAGGGAATCCCTCTTTCACCTCAGTCAGTACCTCCAGCAGAAAGAGCTACATAATCTACCAGACCCATCACAAAATGAAAATGTCGGGTGCCTTGTGCAGGAGAAAAGTGCAGTTACACGTATAAAATAGAAACCTTTTCCCTTTCTTCCATGATCGCTCTCCCAGCTTGTCATGGTGTTTTTCAATTTACTATTTAATGTTGTAAACAATGAAACTACAGCATACCTTGTACTGGTCATTTTTATATTGTGCACTGACACTTTTAAATGAAAATATAAGTGTATCTGACTCTGGCAGAAATCACTGACATTACACAATCCATGTCCATTCTTTTATCCAAATTCCTGACACCAATGCCAGTTTATTATCATTCTATTTTGAAACCAATCTTATTTTCCCACTCTCTGAACCCCAAAACAAAAGAAAACAAAGGAACAAAAATCTTCACTCCATCTTTGAGTTTTTTAGTTCACAATAAATTACCAAACCATAGATGAAGACACTGCCCAAGGTTATCTGTGCTCCCTCTGTAATGATGTAAGGACTGGCATAATCAATATATGTTACAAACCAAACACTACACGTGAGTGTGCATGTTTCCTTGAAGGTTCGACTGCTAATTATAAAAGCCAATGTATTCCTAGATTTTACTTAGCTAACAAAGTCCGCGCTAAATTTGGTATCCCACGCTGTAATTAAATTATGTCCAGAAAGATGTTATCAGTTCCTCTCTCCTTTTGCTTCATTTTATCCTTTTGATCTTTTTAATTTTCCTCCGTTTTACATTTTATTTGCCTTTGTCAGCCAAAGTTTCTGAAGATAAGTAAGGCAAAAATCCCACGGCAATGAAACGGTCCTCCAGTCCTTTTTATAATCACAAAGCATGAACTTCAGATTCATTAGTTGAGATTCTATGCATGATTGCTGAATATCTATGTGCGAGCACCACTTTTAGTGTCTTCACCTGTGTTACCTAACAGTCCTTGCAACCAACCTATGAAGGAGGCAGTATCATCCTTCTGTGAAAGAAACTTGAGGGTCAGAGAACATGTATAGTTTGTCCAACATCTAGAACCAGCAAATGTTAGAAAGAGAATTTAGAGCCAGCTTTCTGTTTCTCAGTTCAGTGTTCCTTCTGTTATATCCTATAATTTCTCCTCTTTAGTTTAGCAGAGTCTTAAAGATCCTTTAATCCACACCCCCTCGCCCCCCACCAACTTTATAAAATGGCAAAAGGAACCTCGGAGAGGTCAGGTTGGTTACCCAAAATCCCTCTGCCAGTAAATGGAAAACTTGGGGCTAGATCTCAGTCTCCTGTCTCCCGGCCCACAACTGCGGATCTCCCCATGCTCTTTCTTTACCGCCCTCCTGCAGTTTAACCCTCCCATCTTCCTGACCTCTAGAGTCATATTGCAGAGTTCCAAGGTTTGCAAAGGAAAAGCTGCCAGGTTTGGAGGGGAGATATTCCCTTCCCTCTGCAAAGAAAGGGGACAGTGAGTTCAGAAACAAGACTGGTCGGATGCCAAACCCCATGTTCCTGGGGCAACCGGTACCCTGGGAGATGGCACCAGAAGAGCTGCGCTCACCTCAGCAGCCTGAGGGGGCCCCGTCTTAAAGGGAAAGGGACAGCAGTGGACAACAGTGCACGGATCCTTTAGCTAGGAGGGGACTGTTTACAGTTTTCAAAATGCATACCAGGGGAATCATGAGAAGTTACCACAAGAATAATTAAGTCAGACTGAAGACTGCATAAGCCCCAGCACTGCTGAGTCATTCAAGAAGGGGGAAGCCCAGAGATGGGAATCCCACATTTCTTGCTAGTGGGTCAGATGTCATTTCACCTGAAACAAAAGAGACATGGTCATATCTGGACCCCAAGGTTGTGACCTCAGTCGTGCCTCTTACTTTGGGGAAAGGACTTTTTAATTAGGATTAAGAATACAAATTTCTATTTATTAGTTGAATTGGGAACAGTGATGAGTGATAAAAGGGCCAAAGTATATTTGCCTTTGTTCCCTTAAATTTTGTTCAGTAAATATACAATCTCCAGCGTTGGGGGTCATGGGGGGGGGGGTGGATGTAGAGTTCATCTCGCTTAGGTTTAACATTTTACATAAATAGACATTATTTTGACCTTGTTAATGGTCTAATGAAAAAGAATAGTCTGACTGGGGTTGTAAATTAAAATTACCGTCAGCCAAGTGCTATTTACCTGACAACAGCTGATTCTAATTCCAAGTATAGTCAATATCCAAAGACGTTGAAGTTGAAAATCCAACAACAGATATAGATTCCCAGAGAGTGAAAAAACATTCTCAGATTTTTAATTACACCTCACCGTTTCCACACAATCTTAATGATGTATTTTTCAGAATTCTTATTTTTCTTTCCTTTCTTTTCCTGCACAATTAAACCCATAGATGACCAGCTTACATTCCTTCGAGGCTACATCAACCCTCACTAGATCTCCATCTTGACCCCCAATGTACTAAACTTGTGAAACTTATCATTAATCTTTCTTTTGCTTCATTTTTTTAACACACTTTTCTAAAATAGTAAGGAGTAAACATGAAATTAAATACTCAGAAAGGCGCACCAGTACTGCAGGGAGAAAAAGCGAACAATTCTTGAACTGAGCCGTCGCCTGGCAGGGAACCCCCAGAGTGGAACAGCTCACAATCTTCATCGGTTCGCTGATCTGTGCAAATCCAAAGTGCAATTTGTAAGGCAGGCTAAGAGTATCCACGCATAATTTTGGGAAGAATATGTTCTACAATGGCCAAATATGTGAAAAACAAAATACGCAAAGACGAAAAAGTGACCTCTGGAAAGATTAAAATGACAAATTGAAACCTTCAAGGATCCAGGCAAGCGCTAAGCAAGGGGGTGGGGCTCATGGGGCTGAGCAGGCGGGGAATCTGTTCATTTCTCCTGCCTGGGAGGCAGGAAACAGCTCACCCTCCAGCCTAAGGCGGGGAGTCAGCCCTTTCCCTCCTGACTCTGATTCACTCTCACTTCAAAGCCAAACCAAGGGATGAAAACCAAGGAAAGCGCAGCGTCCAAAGAATATCTGTGGGAAATCTAACCTGAGTCCATTCTTAAAGTTCTTTATCTCTTAGAAAGAACTGGTAGCTGGGAACATTTTCTATGGCTTCAGGAGCAGAAAAAATGAAATCGGTAATGAAGCAGAAACATCATGTCAATTGCTTAAAGTTCACTCACGTTTAACGTTTCACACCCCATTTACAGTCCGGTTCTTTCTCCACCAAGTGAAAAAGGTAGTGTGTCCTCTGGGGCTTAACAGGATGGCCAGCTCTGCTTGAAGCGCCCCTCTCTCTGTGTCTCTCCCTCCTTCCCTTTCTTCCTCTCCAGGGGTGAGAGGTCTTCATGCTAATGGAAACCATCTGTGGCTCAGTGACCCTCCCACCCCTCACCTGAGCACCAGGAAATCGCACAGCTCCTTGCATCATGAATAAAAGGGCAGTGATCCTTCTGCAGAGCGTTGCTTAGGTTTCAGCTATCTTTGCCTACCCTGCAGAGCCTTCTTTTGAGTTTGGAGCCATGATCGATGAAATTGAAACCTGCGGCGTTGCTTCCACACGCCAGGCATTCCAAAGGGATTTGACCAAAAATATCAACATTTATTGAGTGACTTCTTCATTCCAGGCTGTTATGGGCTGAATTATATCCCCCCAAATTCATATGTTGAAATTTCAACGGCCAGAACCTCAGAATGTAATCATATTTGGAGATAAGGTCTTTAAAGGGGTAAGTTCAAATGAGGCCAGTAGGGTGGGCCCCAATCTAATCTGATTGGTGTTCTTATAAGAAGAGGAAATTTGGACACACAAAGGGACACCAGGGGTACAGGTACACAGAGGAAAGACCACGTGAAGAGACAGCAAGATGGTGGTTGTCTGCACCCCCGCCAGCACCTTGATCTTGAACTTCTAGCCTCCAGAGGTGTGAAAAAATAAATTTCTGTTGTTTGAGCCCCTAGTCTAATACACAGGCAGTATTCTCAAGAATAAATATATGAACTCAGTTCATTCTTAAAACAAGCTATGTGTGTACAGAACAGGAGGAACATTATTAATATCCTTTCGCAGACAAGGAAACTAAAGCCCAGAGCAGTTAAAAATTAAAAAGTCAGAAAAGGTTAGGTGGCGAATAAGTGACTGAGCTGGAATTTAACTGCCCCATGCTGAATGACTGCACTCTACTGTCCCTTTACACTCAGAGGAGCCCTTCCTTAGGCGTTGATATGTTTCTCTTGCAATCTTGAAAGAACAAAGCAGAATTTCTTTTTACTCAACTGAAGGCATGGATTATGGTATCTGGAAATAAATACTAAATAAATGAACTCCTCTATGTCCTCACTTTAATTTTAAATTCCCTGAAGATGAGTTTATCAGTCAGGATTTTTCATATTGTAAGAGACAAACGAATTTAAACTGGCCTAAATTAAGAAAAAAGTGGGGTACTCCCTGACTGCTTCAAACACTCCCTCAAGGAGACAAAATGGCTGC